GCGCGCTCAGACGGCCCAAGACGTCCTCAAGACGACCCAAGAGGCCTCTAAGACAGCCTCACAAGAACCCCAGGCACGCCCCAAGAGAGCCCCTGGAGCGGAGGCAGGGGCCGAGTTTTCGGGTTCCCTGCCCCATTGACCCCTCCTGAGGCCCCCAGAGGTTCCCAAGAAACACCGAAGAGTCCCCAATAACCCCTTCGGAGGCCCCGACAGGCCCCCAAGAACCTTCCAGAGGCTTCCAGCAAACCCCCATAAGCGCCCAAGATGGGCCGAGCACTGCCCCAAGAGAGCCCCAGGACGGCTGGAGGCGCCTCGACAAAGCCTCACAGCGTCAAAGGACAACACGGGAACCTGATGAGACCCCAAGTGACGCCCAATAAGACCCCCAGAGGCCTCCAGAAAGCCCCGACAAGCCCCAAAGAGAGCCCCAAGATCCCAGGACTGCTGGAAGATCCCAGGACAACACTGCTCCAAGAGAACCCCAGGACGGCTGGCGGTTCCTCGACAAAGCCTCACAGCGTCAAACGGACAACACGGGAACGTGCTGAGACCTCAAGAGCCCCCCAAAAAGACCCCAAGATGCCTCAAGACCTCAAGACGCGTCCAGGAAGCCCCCAGAAGCTCCCACGAGGGCCCCAGGACTGCCCCAATACTCCAGGACTGCTGGAAGCGCCTCGACAAAGCGTCAGAGCGACAAACGGACAGTTCCAGGACTCCTTCAGAAGGGCGCCAGGACGGCTGACGGACCGGAGGAGGCCCCAAGAGGCCCCCAACACGACCCCAACAAGCCTCAAGACCTCACCACGCCTCCAGGAAGCCCGCAGAAGCGCCCAAGAGGGCCCCTAGGACTGCCCCACGACTCCAGGACTGCTGGAAGTGCCTCGACAAGGCCTCACAGCGACAAACGGACAGCCCCGAAACGTCCTAGCTCGTATGGCATTTCCCTGAGCTCACCTTAGGAAGTCTCCAGCAAACTCCCAGAAGCGCCCAACAGGGCCTCAGGACAGCCCGACAGCCCTAAGAGGGCCCCGCGACGGCTGGAGGCGCCTCGACAAAGCGGCACAGCGTCAAACGGACAACACGGGAACCAGCAGAATTCGTCCTATAGGCATCCTCTTCTTCGTTTTTCTCTGTCTCGCAATTCACGCCCACTTGTCCTCCAAGGTCGGGGTTCGTGACACTATCAGGTTCACCGACCTTGCGGGGGGGTTCCCGTTTAGTGTTACCCTGGGGGGTTTGGGGGGTACCCTCTGGGACATGGCCCCAGCCACGCGACGAACGTCGGCAGAAGTCCAGCGGAAGACGGCGGAAGACGGCGGAAGACGGCTTTCGGTCGAACAAGCGACCCGCTGGTCCGCAAGATGGGCCAAGCGGGCCACGAGCCGCCGACTGATCGGTCTGGACGGCCCAGGGAGTCCCCAAGACGGCCTGGAAGGCCTCCAAGAGGCTCCCCAAGAGAGCCCCAAGCGTCCAAATTCTGTGGTTTCGCCTTCTCGCCTGTTCAGCTTCTTCCCGACGCTACAAGACGGCCCAAGAGAATTCAACCATCGCCCCAAGGCGGCCGAAGACGCCCCCAAGAGGGCGCCCAGACGGCCAAAGACGCCCTCAAGACGGCCCAAGAGGCCTCCAAGACGGCTTCAGACGGCTCCAGGAACGCTCCACGAGGACTCCCAGAGGAAGGGCAGGGACCCATATTTCGGTCTTTAGCCGCCGACTGAGCGGTGCGGACGGCCCAGGGAGTCCCCAAGACGGCCTGGGAGGCCTCCCAAAGGCCCCCCGGGAGTGCCCCAAGCGACAACATTTTGTGGCGTTTCCCCGACCTGGCGGAGGGGGTCTCGTTTAGTGTTCCCCTGGGGGGGTCTGGGAGGGTACCCCCCGGGACATGGCCCCGGCCACTGGCGGAACGCCGGCAGAAGACGGCAGAAGACGGCAGGACACAGCGCCATTTCCGCAGACGCGCTTTCGAGAGGCACGGACGGCCCCAAGATGATCCGTAAGATGGTGCAAGAGGACCAAGAGTCGCCAGCAGGTCGATCCAGGCCGTCCAACACGGGAACCAACACAATGAGCCGCATAGTCGTCTTCTCTGCTGATCTCTTTCTCGCATGTCACGGCCACTGTCCCCCCTCCCAGTGGCTCGCATAGCAGGGCCCGGACATTGCCCAACAGGGCTCCAAGATGGTCGTAGACGCCTCGACAAAGTGGCACAGCATCAAACGGACAACAGGGGAGCCTTCATAATTACCTTCAAATGCGGCACAGCGTCATACGGACAACACGTAAATCAGCAGTACACCCCTTGTAGGCGTCCTCTTCTTCAGTCTTCTCTTCCTCGCAAGTCACGCCCACTTGTCCTCCAAGGTCGGGGTTCGTGGCAATATCAGGTTGCAGAGGATGAATGGGGGGAGCCATCACTGGCCTGGCTGGGATGGTACGAGTTCATATTTACGACGAAGGCTGGGGCAACATCATATGCAACTTGCAATACGAAAAGGAGGGCAGCTAAATGGGGGGCAGGTCCTGTCTAGAAAGGAGTTGTTGTATTGTGCAGTCTGTGTTGTGCAATATCTGTTGTGCAACCCACGTTGTGCAACCCATGTGCTGAAACCACCTGGGCTCCCCGCGCCCGCTCGTCGCGGCAAGCGACTCCCGGGCCCGTCCGTTGTCCCCGCCCTGCGCTCGCCCGCGCCCCGCGGCGCCGGCCTGCGAGCGAGCGCGCGGCCCTCGTGACGCCTCGAGCCCAAGCCTCACTGGATCCGGGGAGGGCAGCATCTGCCACAAGAGAGAGGTGCAGAAGCACCCTCCTGTGCATTGCTCCTGGGGAGGGTGGCGGCGTGTGTAAACCACCACCGGGGGCCATTTTTGTTGTTCATGCGCCGCCGCCCTCTCCTGGAAGCACCTGCACAGTTCGTCGGAGGAGGGCGCTTGTGCGTATATTTTTCGTGGCGCTCAGCAGCCCTCCAGCCCGGCGCCGCCCGCGGCGGGGCGCGGAGGGGGCGCGGAGCCCGTGGGCTGTGGGCCGGGCTCTGGCTGCGCGCCGCGGGCGCCGCCCGCGCGCGCGAGCGGCCGCGGCTGCCCGGCGGCGGGGCTGCCGCCATGGACGGCTATGAGGCCACCATGCTCGTGCAGTGGCTGCTCCGGGTGCTGGACTTCTTCAGCATCACCATGGTCATCCCCGCCATGCCCCAGTTCCTGCTGAGCCTGGGCGGCACCACGCCGCTGTACTACAAGACGCTGATGTGGAGCACGGCCATGCAGGTGGCCACCACTCAGGTGATCGGCGCGCTCGTGGACCGCACCAGGGACATGCGCAAGCTGTACATCCCGCTCTGCTCGCTCAGCGTTGTTGGCGCCGGCCTATACGCCGCGGCGGACGCCGTCGAGGTGCTGCGCACCCCGGCTGCGGTAGTGGTCGCTCGCCTGCTGATGGGCGCCGGCGCGAGCAAGGCCACGCTGGTGTTCGTGTACCTGGCCCGCGTAGCAAGAACCGACGCGTACCGAAATCGTTGGATGGTCAGCCTGTCTACCGCTCGGTCGCTGGGGCTCTTCGCCGGCCCTGCCCTGACGGTGGTGCTGGTCTTCGTGGGCGAAAAGCATGTGTTGCCGCGCTCCACGCGCGCGGCGACATGTCTGTTGTTCCCATGCGCGGCCTTACGCCTTGGTGAGGGCGCCGCGGCCACCAGGGCAAACGCCGCCTCGGGCGCGGTGGGCTCGCCGTGGGTTTGCCGCGGTGCCCAGGGCGTGTCCTCGGGGCGCGGGGCCAAGGGCTTGGCGTGGGTTTGCCGTGGTGTCGGCGTCGCCCACCTGGGCGCGTCGAGGACGAACGGCGCGAGGACATGTCCTTGCCCGCGGCCCCAAAGGCTGGGCCCTAAGGGCCGCGACCCCGTGGTTGCGAGGCGCCTTTTCACGGATGCCCCGCGCGGAGCGTATCTTTGCGACCGCGTAGCCGCGGGATCTCGGCCGGGCCAGGACGAGGATACATCCGTTGCGGAGAGCTCCGGAGCGCTCTCGGAGCGTTCCGGAACCCTCTGGGAAGGCCGCGGCGCCCGGGACATCCTCCAGAGCCGCCGTATCTCGGGGCCGCTCGATATTTGCATCCGCGGAGGAGAAGGAGGAGGAGGAGGAGGAGGAGGAGGAGGAGGAGGAGGAAGAAGAGGAGGAAGAAGGAGGAGGAGGAGGAGGAGCAGGAAGAGGAGGAGGAAGGAGGAGGAGGAGGAGGAAGAGAAGAAGGAGGAGAAGGAGGAGGAGGAGGAGGAGGAGGACCCCGAGTTTCTCCTCGTCCTGGCCTCGTCTTAGGATCGCGCCCGGGGGTCCAGACTGCGAGGGGGCGCGGGCGCGGAGGCGTGCCCACCCCTCGTGGCGAGGTCTGGCTCACCGGCTGCCGCGCGGACGACGACGAGGGCGGGTCCCTGCTGGGGTGCTACGCCCTGCCGGGCACCTTCGGATGGGCCAAGCTTCCACCACGAATTGCCACCTGTTGGACGGGCCTCCTCCTCCTCCTCCTCCTCCTCCTCTCCTCCTCCCCCCTCCTCCCCCTCCCCCTCCCCCTCCCCCTCCCCCTCCCCCTCCCCTCCTCCTCCTCCTCCTCCTCCTCCTCCTCCTCCTCCTCCTCCTCCTCCTCCTCCTCCTCCTCCTCCCCCTCATCCTCCCCCTCCCCCTCCCCCCTCCCCCTCCCCCCTCCCCCTCCTCCTCCTCCTCCTCCTCCTCCTCCTCCTCCTCCTCCTCCTCCTCCTCCTCCTCCTCCTCCTCCTCTCCTCCTCCTCCTTCTCCTCCTCCTCCTCCTCCTCCTCTCCTCTCCCTCCTCCCCCTCCTCCGCCCCTCCTCCCCCCCCTCCTCCTCCTCCTCCTCCTCCTCCTCCTCCTCTCCTCTCTCCTCCTCCTCCTCCTCCTCCTCCTCTCTCCTCCTCCTCCTCCTCCTCCTCCTCCTCCTCCTCCTCCTCCTCCTCCTCCTCCTCCTCCCTCTCCTACCCCTATGGTAGTGGTGGTGGGAAATCGGCCCATCACCTTCCTCTGCGGCGCCCACCTCGTGGCGCTGGCGCTGCTGCTCGCCGTCTGGACGCCGCCCTTCCGCCAGATGGTCGAAGGCACCTAAGGGCTTGACGACTTTTCGCCGATCGACTTGTGGGGATCGAGCCAGATCAATCCAGACAAGTGCGGATCAATCCAACCAGTTCAGACACATCGAGGTACATCCAGGTAAATCGGGGCAAGTACAGGTAACTCCAGAGACCTTGCGGGACGGTTGGAGCCAATGGCGACCGCTCCAGCGCGAGTCGAAGGCCGGCAGCAGTCGTCAAGTCTTTACAACGATCAGGGCTCGACGCGGGCTCGCCGAGCGCCATCGCCGGCCGCCGCTGGGAGTCGCCCTCGGCGCGGACGCCCCGGCGCCTCCGCCGGGAGGCCAGCCTGGCGCAGTTCTTCGCCAAGCCGCACGTGCTGGCCGTCTGCCTGGTGTACGTGCTGCCCCTCGGCTGCGGCGCCGCGGTGGAGTACGCGGTGCCGATCGTCGCCACCAGGTCAGGGAAGACGTCAGGGGGTATGCATGGGCTGAGGAGGGCAAGGTGCCCACACCGCTACCTTTTCCTTGTTTTCCCCTTTTTGGGGGGCCTCCTGGGCGGCCCTCGTCGCCACCGCTGGATTCGCCTCGAAATCCTGGTCAGAACGCATCCGAGGAGGTCTGGGGAGTACGCGGTGCCGATCGTCGCCACCAGGTCAGGGACGACGTCAGGGGGTATAGGCTGAAGGGGGGATACGCCGTGACATTCCAGAGTACTGAAACATATCCCTCGAGACCCATAGACCTGTCTGGACTGCCGAAGACCTCGACAGGGATGTAGATGTCGAGGTTCCGGTGCTATTTTGTTAGCCCTCCTGGACGGTCAGGGCTCAGGGGGGGATGCAGCGACCCCCAATCGCCCACTCCTCGCCGAGAGGAGCCCGATGGCCCGCGCCGCCCAGGGCCGTGCGCGTTCGTGCTTGTGGGCCTATCGCCGATCTATCGTTGAGTCGGACATGTCCCTCTACAGGAGGAATACTCCAAAATAGTCAGGGGACGATTGTCTTATTTTTCAATTGTTTTTGGATTATTTTTCGTCAATGTATTATTTTCCGTCCATTTCCGCCTGCAGCAGGACATGCCCGACCTAAATCTATCGGCGATGTGTCGCCGATGCGAGGTCGGTGCTTCCCCCCAGGGCTGGCGGGAGGTTTTTCTAAATTTTCGGCCTCTCGCGGGCCTCACCGGGCCTCGGGACCGTCAAAGAATGGCTCAGGATGAAAAGCTGGTCCGGGGGAAGGGGTCCGGACCTCTGAGGGTCGCGTCATGAAAAAATCATGGCGTCGGGGGTCTGGGCACCAGGGTCATGCTCTGGGACGCCAGCATGGCTGGCGGGGTGCTGATGGCCATCTCGGTCGCGGTCTTGTGCAATCAGCTCGTGCTCATGCGGGTCCAGAGTTGGACAGACGAGCACGGCCGCGTGAAGGTCGCCGATTGCAGCATCATGTTCTTCGGACTCGCCGGGCTGGCCACCACGTTTGTCTTCACCAGCGTGCTGTGGTTCCTGACCGTCGGGTGGGGGGCCACCGCCCCCGCCTCCGCGAGAAGCCACTGGCTCCTGGTGATGGGCCCGATCGTACTCTCGGAGGCCTGGTTCCCGTACCTGGGCAACGGGGTCAACATGACGTTCACTCGGCTGGTGCTGACCCACGTGCCCGCTCGGACGTCGGGGCACAAGCGGTGGCACGAGCATGAGTGTTCGGAGGTCCGCGCAGATTTCCTGGGAGGGAGGGAGGGAGGGAGGGAGGGAGGCAGAGAAGGGGGAGGAGGAGGAGGAGGAGGAGGAGGAGGAGGAGGAGGAGGAGGAGGAGGAGGACGAGAAGGAGAAGGAGGAGGAGGAGGAGGAGGAGGAGGAGGAGGAGGAGGAGGAGGCCCCCCCTCCCTGGCGGAGCGCGGAGAGCGCGTCAGGGGCGGCGCCGGAGGCGCCGCCAGGGGGCCGCCCAGCGCCGAGCCGAGGAATCCGTGCGGACCTCCGAAAGTTTAGCGAAGACGCCTACACCACAGGCGATGCTTGAGAAAACCTAAGTTTTCGTCCAGAGTCTCGATTATTCTTAATGTTTCAATGCAAATCCCAAGATTTGAATAGACATTCTGGGTTTTCATTCAGATTATGAGACTATGAATTTCTTAACCCATGATTTCTAAAGCATTTCGCAGGGTGTACGACGAATCACCGCCGCCCCCTGCCTTTTTGGAAGCCCCTGCGTGGCCGAAAGTTGGGTTTGAGCTCGGCCACGCTATCGGGCCACGCGTTCCCCGAGTGGGTTTCGAAAGCCTTCGGGGAACACGGAGTCGGGCGATCTATCGGACCAGGCGGTTTCCGAGCGTTCGGGCCTCCTGGAGGACGTCTTGGAGGGGTCTTGGGCCGTCTTGGAGGCCTCTGGCGGGCCTTTTGGGCAGTCTAAGGCCATCTTCAGGCCATCTCGGACCGTCTTGGGTGCACCTTGGGACCATCTTCGCTGTCTTGGAGGCCTTCTTGGCCGTCTTGGAGGCATCGCGGAGGCCATCTTGGCAGTCTTGGAGGCCATCTTCTGCATGTTCGGGGCCATCTTAGGTCGTCTTGGGCTCTTCTTGGGGCCCTCTTGGGGGCCTCTTGGGCTTTCATGGCGCCATCTTGGAGGCCTCTGGGGCGCTCTTGGGACGACGTGGGGGGCCTATTGGGCCGTCTTGGGCCGACGGAGGGCTGATAAGAAGAAAATGCCAAAATCCTTCAACAACCTAAGGAACATCAACGATGTTTGCCCTTTCGGGCCTTCCTGGAGGACGTCTTGACGGCCTCTTGTGGGCCTCTTGGCCAGTCGTAGGCCATCTTGGAGCCATCTTGGGCCGTCTTGGAGGTTTCTTGGACGAACTTGAAGGCATCTTGTACTCTCTCGGGCCGATTTGGAAGCCATCTTGGACCATCTTTGGCGACTCGGACGCCATCTTGGAGGCCATCTTGGAGGCCATCTCGGGCCAACGTGACCATCTTGAGCCGTCTCGGATAATTTTTGCGGTCGTTGAGGTGGTTGCGGGGCTTTTCCGTGACCCCCGCGGGATCGGCCGAAGCCCCAGGGGGAGTTCTTTTAAGAACCAAAACCAAAATCGAAAGGATCTAGCATGCCGGGCACCCCTGTGGCAAGCCAACAGGGGGCGGCGGATCGAATGGCCTTCGGCCCATCCCGCCACCGTGCCTGGGTTGTGGGTATGAAGCCTATTGGATGTTCGTTGGGATCTCGTGGGAGGTCTCTCGGGAGCCTCTTGAAGGCAGTTTGGACGCCTCTTGGGAGCCGTTACGTGACCTCTTGGGCCCCCTTTTGCGCCTCGTGGGGGCCTCTTGGAGCCTCTTGGAGGCCTCTGGGGCATCCTGGACGCTTCTTGGGGCCTCCTGGGGGCCTCTTGGGGCGGAAGGTTCGGATTTCCGCTCGTGTTTCCTCTCTTGGTTCCCTTTTGGGGCCGTCTTGGGGCCCTCTTGGGGCCCTCTTGGGTCGTTTTGGGCACCTCTTGGGCTGTCTTGGGGGGCCTCTTCGTCGTCCGTTTGGGGGCCCTCTTGGAGGCCTCTTGGGCCGTCTTGGGGCGGTCTTGGGGGCCTCTAGAGCCGCATGGGAGCGTCGTGAAGCCGAAAAGGCGAGAACGCCCAAATCTGTCCAACACTAAAGGAACATGAATGATTTTGGCTTCGTGGGGCTCTCTCGGGAGGCCTCTCGGAGGCCTCTTTTTGGGCGTTTTGGAAGTTTTGTGGCCGACTCGGGGCCCTCTTGGACCGTCTTCGGGAGCCTCTTGGGGCCCTCTAGGCCTGTGGGCCCCAGAAACGGCAGGGCCGTTTTTTCACCGTTTCCGAAAAAATGTACCTTGAAAATGGAAACGGCAAAAAAAGGCGACCGGAAACGGCAAAAAAACGGTTCCAGGATCGGAACCGGAGCCGGAACCAGTCAAAACACGGCGACGGAACCGGTAGAAAACGGCGTCGGAACCGACAACAAAAACGGCAAAACGGAACCGGTAAAAAACGGCCCTGTCCTTTCCAGGGCCCACTAAGCTCTGGGCCCGTCTTGGGGCCGCATTGGGCCGGAAAGAGTCACGCGACAACACTTCCCAGAGCCCAGGGGGCACGCGGGAAGCCCTGCCGGATTGCGGAGCTTGGGGCCCGGGCCCCTGAAAGAGATCCCCAGGAGTGAGGAGGAGGAGGAGGAGGAATGAGGGAGGAGGAAAAGGCGAGGAGGAGGAGGGGATGGAGGAGGAGGAGGAGGAGGAGGAGGGGTAAGAGGGGGAGGAGGAGCAGCAGGAGAACAACGACGACGCCATGCGGAGGCAGCAGAGAGGCGCTGAGGAAGCCCCGCGGAGGGCGGCGACCAGGAGGAGGAGGAGGAGGAGGAGGAGGAGGAGGAGGAGGAGGAGGACGAGGAGGAGGAGGAGGAGGAGGAGGAGGAGCTGAGGAGCTGAGCGTGGGGAGAGGGGGAGGGGGAGGAGGACAAGTTAGGTGCGCTCGCGTCAACATCTGACATCCTACCCCTCCCTCCCATCCCTTACCATGGCGCTGATTTTCTCTATCCGCGGACGCGTGTCGTAGCGGACCTGTGGCTCCGCGCGCGTGTGCGTAGTGGGTGGTAGTGCGTGTGCGTGCGTGCGTGTGTGCGTGGTTGTGGTTGTTGTGGTGGTGGTGGTGTGTATGTGTGTGTGTGTGCGTGTGTGCGCGTGTGCTGTGGTGTGACGTGGTGTGGCGTCTTGGTGGTTTGGTGGTGGGCCAGGTGCGTACGTGCGTGATGGCGGCGGTGGTGGTGGCGGTGGAGGTGTGTGTGTCTGTGTGTGTGTGCGTGTGTGTGTGTGTGCGTGTGTGTGTGTGTGTGTGTGTGTGTGTGTGTGTGTGTGTGTGTGTGTGTGTGTGTGTGTGTGTGTGTGTGTGTGTGTGTGTGTGCGTGTGCGCGTGTGCGCGTGTGCGTGTGCGTGTGCGTGTGCGTGTGTGCGTGCGTGCGTGCGTGCGTGCGTGCGTGCGGCGTGCGTGCGTGCGTGCGTGCGTGCGTGCGTGCGGCGTGCGTGCGTGCGTGCGTGCGTGCGTGTGATGTGGTGTGACGCGGTGTAGCGTGGTGGTGGTGGGTGGGGTAGTGCGGTGGTGGTGGCGGTGCGCGGTGGTGGTGCGCGTGCGTGCGTGCGTGCGTTGGTGGGTGGAAGTGGCGGTGGGTGTGCGTGCGGCGGGGCGGGGCGTGGCGCGGCGCGGTGGTGGCGGGCGGATGGGCGCGCGAGAAGAGGCCCGCGCTGGGGCGAGAACGCCATCCTGAACGACGGAGGCAAAGCACCGATCCGAAAATGAGGCCCACGCTGCAGCGGGAGCACGATTCGGAACGATTCGGGAGCAGAAATGAGGCCGGCGCCTCAGCGAGAGCAGCATTTTGAAAAAAAAA